CGTGACTGTCGAGCTCCCCGGGACAGGCAGAAGGGCAGACCCGGCTCCTCCTTCTGCGCTCCCCCGCGGCCTGCACCTGTGCCGTGTGCTCCCGTTGCCTGGCCCCTCATTTAACCGTGGCCCGCAAAAAAGGACTTTTTTCTGTGTATAGTGAGCTGAACAAACTCACTGGGGAGTCAGATGAGTGCTGGGCCTGTTACGGGGAGGAGGGTAACAGGAGATGGGGCGGAGTCAGGTACAGCAGGAGGAAAGAGCATTTGGAATAAAGACTGTCATGCACAGTTGTCTCGTGAAAGCTCACATGTAGTGGACAGTAGGGATTCAAGTAAATTTGGGTCTGCCTCTTGGTATCTAGTGCCTTGAACTCCCTGTAGTAAACAGGATTTAATGTGATCCTTGTGTATATGAACAGAGAACAAGCCTAGGGAAGGGACTTCCACAACATCTACAAGAATCAATAAAGCCAGTGTTACAATAATAAGTACTGAACTAGCTTCCATGTTGTAAGAAGAAGAGAGCAGAATTAAAAGGTGAGAGGTTAGCTGTAGTGATCCTAAGCAGGAGACCATTGCCTATTGAGGAGTTAAGAGGATCACATGGCAGTGAGCCTGTGCTGTGCTGTATGCCCAGCATGGCCCTTGTGCCAGTGTGTGCCTGCAGGATATCCTCAGCCAGCCCATGATACCAGAGGAGCCTGCAAAAGCATCTCCCACTTGGTACTAGTGATCAGAAAAGCTAGACTTCTGTTTCTTTTATCCAAATCTGCTGCAGCTGTTATTTCACCACTAAAGATTATTCTCCTATCTGGGAGCAAAACACAGACAGTGGTGATACGCATCTTGTAGTGTTTGCTCTTTCAGTATACAGGTTTACAAATCAGAGGAGTGACAGCAGAAGAAATAACAGACTTTGAAACAAGGGTTAGCGATTCTAGTTGTCAAATCACAAGAATATCACTAGTGTGATATGCCACAGCTTTATGCAGTAGCAAGCATATAGAAAGGATCTTTCCAACTCCAAAACCTCTTGACAGTGGTGACAGTGATTTGAGTGGCTTCTGGCTGAGAAGAACATTATGCTCAGATATGGAAGTGTGTCATATCAGGTATCCAGATAATTAGCTAATACCTAACAGGCATGCACTTCTTCTCCTTGCCTTTGAAAGAAGCAACTTTCTTCTCTCCTCTCCTGCCAGTACTTGCAGAAAAGTTGTAGGTTAGGTATTTCTTCTCTCCCATCTAGGGAAGGCAGGCTTGACACCTGTGAGTGTAAAAGAGCCAGCCAGGCTCTGAGCAAGGTTTTGTATCTCCTGCTGCACTCAGCACTTTGGGCAGGTTGGATCCTGGTGATTCCTTTTTCCATGCACAGGTGTTCTGAGACAAGTAGGTCAGTTCTGAATTTCTCTCTGGGAGGCAGACACTTTGAAGCTATTTCCTGTAGCTCCTAACTTGTTGAAATCGAAGTGTTAGCATGACTCCAGTGATAGCTTCTCCCATGTTCAGTTTGCAATTCCCTTGAATGGATTGACACTATGATAGAGTAAAAGCTGTTTATGTAGAAGGAATTTGTCAACAGAAAAAGGGGTAGCTACTTGCTGTCATGTAGACATTTAGGTCTTAGTGTTAAATAAAGAGTTACCTAGCTGAAAAATATAGCCTTTCTTACACAGAGATAACTAGGAAGAAGAATAGATATCTGGGTGGGAATAAATCACAAAGACACACATATGCATAGCCAGACAACAAGAAGATTTCTAGGAAAATCTGACCTTAGACCATGTTGTGGAGGATTCACTGACATTGAAACAGACATGAAGAGATGGTGTCCAGCTGTAAGAAACAGCCATGAAGTGTTAGTGACATTTTTAAGCTCAACAAGGCAGAAAATAAAAATTAACCACTTGTCTTAGCCATTTTCTTTCTGGCTCCTCAGGAGTTTGGGATAAACTCTGGTAATGATCAAGAGGCAGGAACTGGCCTAGTGGCAGGAGCTATCCAGTCAGGGTACCCAGTAC